CAATAAATGAAAAAGAAAGCACTGTCTCACAATTGTTAATATTTCTGTTTCCTTATGATACCTAAAAGGGACAGGTCTCATAATCAGTAACATCATATTAATTAAATATAATAGCTGCATTATGCATTTTTTATAGAATTTAAGAATGCTATTTAAAATGTGAATTGAAATAATTCACATTTATTTTAATAAATTATATCTTTATTACAGATACTTACTGTATTTTTTCTTATGCTTTTTTGGTTTTTAGACCCTATATTTTTGTAGCCTGTTATATTTTCTTTGATCATTTATATATTGTTGGTCATTTACATATCATATTTCAGTTTTATGAGTTAATTAGCATTAGGTAAGTTGTAAGCATGTTTGAATCTCAATATTAAGAGTTAAACATTGGAAATAGGATTTCCTAGACCTATGACAGGAAGCAAAAGTATTTATAATAATCATATACCTTATGAAATATATGTGCTTGATGGATTAAAAACCATATGTAAAAAATAAGCAAATACTAAAATAAAACATGGAAAACATTCATTTACCCTTGAAGTTAAGGGGACATTTCTTAAGTAAGAACAGAAACATAGAGTTGTAAATAAAGTAGAAACATACAAAACCATGATAAATTGAAAAAAATATGTGCCAACATATAAAAGATAGAACTGTAAAATGATTTAAAAAGTGTATGCTATTTGACTTATTTTGTTAATATATAGAGGCACCTAGGATGTTTTTTAAAAAGCAGACAACTTAATAAAACCTAATTAAAAAATGGGCAAAGGATACAATATGATAACAGAAAAGGAAAGAGTTAAGAAATAGACAAAAGATGTTCTACCTCACTAGTAGTCATGAAAACGCAAGAAAAAAAGTAAGAGAGATGATTAGAGAGACTAAACACATTAACTGATATAGAAAATATAAAAAAATGAACAATAATGACTGAACACACATCTTCAAACTTATTAACACTTTAACATTTTTATTTTGATGAGTTTGGAGTGGGAAAGCAATTTAAAAGTATAAATGGGAGTAAAATATTTCTAAGGTTCTTTTGTTTGTAATGGAGCTAAAGATACTGATTGGTTTTAGACATAGCAAAAATTATGTATAAGACTAAATACATATGTTAAGACAAAAAATTAAGGACAAACAAATAATAGAATGTAAAGTTTCAGTTTGGTAGAGAATGAAGGAAGGAAACAAAACTTGAAAAAGAAAATCACACAAGTATATAAATAGGTACAAAGCAAAAAGTATGCAGGAAACTTATTTATCTGGCAGAGAAATACAATTCTACCAGTAACATTTATTATATACTGCTTAAATTTAAATAGTATAATATTTATTATACTATTCATAGTACTAGTAATTATAATACTAATAAAACTTCTAGATACTGATTAGCAATACTAGTACTAAAATACTATTAGCATTAAGTACTATTAGTATTACTAAATAGCAAATTTATTATATGCTTAAAACTACACAAAAAATGTATCATATATTTCTATGAAATAAAGGATGTACATAAAAATAAGATTTTGCTTAGTTCTGAAAGTAAGAAAGGTAACTGGGAATGATGGTAGTCAAATAAGATGAGGGGAGGGGTCTTTAGCTTTATGTGTAACATTATAATGTTAAGATAAAGGATTATGTGATATATAATATCCATACATTCACAAAAATAGATGACAGAGACAGATGATAGACAGATGATTGATTGATTGATAGATAGATAGATAGATAGATAGATGATAGATAGATAGATAGATGGATGGATAGACAGACAAAATCCTAGAAGCCAATATGACAATTAAAAAAGACCAATTCTGAGTCTGGTTTTTAGGCATATTAGTGACTATTATTTTCTTCTTTGTACTTTTTTGTAATGTTCAACCTTGCCATAATAATAAAAGGAAACATAGAAAAACAATTATGTCTGGAGTAAAGGTAAGTTTAGTTTTGAACATGTCAAGTTCCAGGAATCTGATTCTAATCACATAGTGCAGGGGAAGGTATGAGTGTAGATAGGAGGATACCCAGACAGTATTGCACATCCAGCTGAGACTGAACTAAAAATTTTGTGAATGGATCTAATTTATATAATTGAGAGGGTCTTCATTTTTTGTTTTTTTCAAATGCTTTCCTGGCAAAATCTGAGTAAGGCAAGTGTTATGGAAATAAACAGTCCTGGAGAACTGAGGATGACAGTGAATGAAGAATTAAAGTCACTAAAAATAGTACAGAATGGTGATAATAAATAAGGACTTTAAAGTTTAAAAGCAAAACCAAGACAAACTATAACCTAGAAAAAAGAAATCTCACATTGAAATATTGGCTTTTCTACTTAGAAACTATATGATGATATTAATCAAATCATTTAACCACAGCACTTTAGCAGTGAGAAGTACAAGATCAAGGAACCAGCAGTTTCAAGGTCTGGTGAGGGCCTGTTCCTCATAGATGCTGCATTCTCTGTGTCCTTATATGCACACATGGAAGAGTGACAAAGATAAATCCTGTGTCCTCACATAGTTGAAAGCCAAAAGGGACTAGGACTTCCCTTCTACCTCTTTTATGAGGGCACTAATCCCATTCATAAGGGTAGAATACTTGTGACTTAATCATGTCCCAAATTCCCCACCTGTTAATACCATCACGTTGGGTCTTAAGTTGTAATATATGAATTTTAGGGAAAAACATACATTCAAATAATAGCATTCCATCCCTGGTCCTCCAAAATTTGTGTACATCTTACACACAAAGTATGTTCACTGAATCTCAATAGTCCCAATAATCTTTTTTTTTTTTTTTTTTTTTTTTGAGACAGAGTCTTACTCTGTCGCCAGGCTGGAGTGCAGTGGCGCAATCTCGGCTCACTGCAACCTCTACCTGGGTTCAGGCGATTCTTCCGCCTCAGCCTCTCGAGTAGCTGGGACCACAGGCATGTGCCACCACGCCCAGCTAATTTTTATATTTTTAGAAGAGACGGGGTTTCACCATGGCCAGTATGGTCTCCATCTCTTGACCTTGTGATCCGCCTGCCTCGGCCTCCCAAAGTGCTGGGATTACAGGCGTGAGCCACCGCGCCTGGCCTAGTCCCAATAATCTTAACTAGTTCTAGCATCAACTCAAAAAGTCTAAAGTCCCGAGTCTCATCTAAATATCTAAATCAGACATGGGTGAGAATCAAGATATAATTTTTTCCAGAGGCAAACTGCTCTCCATCTGTGAATGTGTGACATCGAACAAGTTACGTATTTCTAAAATACAGTGGTGGGATAGGCATAGAATAGACATTTTTATTACAAAATCAAGAAACAGAAAAAAAGAAAGGGTAATAGATCTTGACCAAATCCAAAACCTAATGGGGCAAACATAAAGTCTTGAGGCTCCATAATAATATTATTTTCCTTAAATTTCCTGCCTTCTGGACACTGTGGCATGGAGGTTGGGCTCCTAAGGCTCTGAGAATTCCTGCCTCCATGGCTTTGTTGGGCTCTGCTCATATAGCAGCACTCATGGGTTGAGCCTGGGTGCCTGCAACTCTCCCAGGATAGTGTTGCATGCTGGTGGCTCTGCAGTTATGAGGTTGTGGAGGAAGCACTGCCCCTACAGCTCTACTAGGCATTGTCCTGGGGGGGACCACAGAAGTGGCTCTGCACCAACAACTCCACTAGGCATTATCTTATTGAGGGCACTCTGTGCTGTCTCCACCCTTGTGGTAGTTCTCTATTTGGGTCCCAGGCTTCTTTAATGCATCTTTTTAAAACTAGGTAGAGGTAGCCATGCCCCCACAGCTCTTGCACTCTGTACACCTGCAGAGTTAGTACCACATGCATAGCACCATACAGGTTATGTACATTCTGGAGGGGTGATGTGAGCCATAACTATCCCCTCATGAGCCACAGCTGGGGTGGCTAAGAAGCACTGTGTCCGAATGTGGGAAACAAAGATGAGGTAGCACTGCACAGCAAGCTCCAAGGTCCCATAGGCACCTGAGGCCCTACCTTTGAAATAGTTCCGGCTCTCAGGCCTTGACACTATGGGCCTGTGATGGAAGGGGAAGTCCCATTAATTTCATAAATGCCTTCAGGGTCATGCTCTCAATGTCTTGTTGAATAGTATCTGGCTTGCTTCTCCTCATACTAATCTTATCAAATGGTCACTTGGCCACACTCTTGATGTTCTCTCCTAAGCATGTTCTTTCATTCTTTACAATTTGACCAGTCTGAAAACTTTCCAAATCTTTATGTGCTATTTCCCTTTTGATTATAAATTCTGTCTTTATCTTTTTGTGCATTTTATTAAAAGCAGTCAAGAGAAGTAATGCTACACCCTAAAGACTTAGCTTAGAGATTTCTTCCACCAAATACCCTTTTTATCACTCCTACATTTTTCCTATCATAAAACACTAGGACACAAACACAATTCAGCCACGATCTTTCCCAAGTTAACAAGGAATTGTTAAAGGAATTTCTCACTTTCCTATTGTAACAAGGAAAGCCTATACTACAGTTTCTGATAGCACATTCCTCATTTCTGCCTAAGACCTCATCAGAATGGCCTTCACTGTCCATATTTCTACCAACATTCTGTTTACAATTACTTAAGTAATCTCTAATAGCTCTATAAAAGTCCTCGAAAAGTGTTTACCAAACTGGTACTCCATGAAATACTATTACAAGGAAAAGAAAAAGGCAGTATTCCTCAGCCAAATAAATTTAAGAAATACAGTATAAGAATTAGAATACTAAAGAATATGAGAAGTAAAGAGTGGTGTTACTAGCTTTACAGCATTCATTAACGCTGAAACTTGAATTTTTGGTAAATTGTTTAAAAATATTCATCCTAGAGAAAAATTTAACTATAAAGCCATAAATAGAGATGAATCACATTTATAACACATTTTTAAATCATCAAGTACTCTATGTCTATCATTTAAAAACGTATTTATCAACAAGAAACATATATTTATATAACAACATCATACATACTTCTCAATTTTTGGTATTGGTCAACTTCACTTGTTTGAATTTGATCCATGTGTCCTGCAGCTGATTCTACATTTTCAGGTGTAAAACTCCTATCTGACAGTTTATCCATCTCTTGATCTACCAAGATTAAAGGAAAAAAAAAACTTTTAGTAAATTAAATATAAAAATACTATTGAAATTTACCTACTATGTCCTAATCTCAAGAAGACTATAATTTCTAAAGTTTAGGAACATATTAATACATCATTATGTCAAATAAGAAGAGAAAAATTATTAATATCTGAAGTTAATTTGACAAGTTTCACATCTATTCCTGCTAAAACTTTTTGAAAAATTAAAATTATAGATTTACTCCTAGACATTTACTCCCTTAAGATAGAATACACTTCTGCCTCCATCCAAAAGCTAACATTTTGATTTTTAGTGAAACACCAAAAGCCATTACTATTAAAATTATGAACAAAATAAGATTGTGACTTATTATTGTTTTTCTTATTATTGTTACCCATTTCTGGTAATGCTGAAATGCAATAAAGTAGAAATTTTGATTTTCTGCTAAGATTACTTATACGACTAAACATACTCATACAATATTGACTAAAACTAAAAATCAGTTTGCTTGTATAGATTTGACATATGAATTTTTCATAATAAAATATTAAAAGAGAAATTTAAAAAGTGTATATATCTGGGTCAGAGACATTGTACATATTCAATGTCACTGAAACCCATGGGCATATTTTAAATATAATTGGTACATCTTTTCATAAAGATTTCCCCAAAATGTCTAATCATAATCTACATCTTCCTGTAACATTGAGATGTGTTTCTCTGTATTCCTCCCAACTGATAGTATATCCTTACAGTATTTGTTATTTTATAAATGGTTTTAACTGAATTTTTTATTATTGATATAAATGTATTTGATTAATAGGAATAAAACATCTGATGTCCATTTTTCTTGTTGGAGAAATTTATTTTAAAAATTTCTTTTAATATCTTTTTTATTAAATAATCTAAAATAAATTAAAATTTTTTACATAAAGGTTATACCCTTTGACTGTCACATAATTAAGTTTGATATTTGCTTTTTAATACTAATTTTGATGTTTTTTTGCACAGAAATTTAAAATTATTATTTAGCCAATTTCTAATGATCTTTCCTTTATATTCCTGTCTATAAAGTCATACCTGGGGGAACCTTCCTGAGAATTAGACTAACTTGTTTTCTTTCCCTGTTTGATTTTTCATAGGATTTATTTACAACCTAGAAAATCAGTTTGTTGAATAGCAAAAGATAAAATTATCACTTTAGTTTTTTTCTTTTTCTTTCTTTTTTTTTTTTTTTTTTTGAGACAGAGTTTTGCTCTTGTTACCCAGGCTGGAGTGCAATGGCGTGATCTTGGCTCACTGCAACCTTCGCCTCCTGGGTTCAGGCAATTCTCCTGCCTCAGCCTCCTGAGTAGCTGGGATTACAGGCATGCGCCACCATGCCCAGCTAATTTTTTGTATTTTTAGTAGAGACGGGGTTTCACCATGTTGACCAGGATTGTCTCAATATCTTGACCTCGTGATCCACCCGCCTCGGCCTCCCAAAGTGCTGGGATTACAGGTATGAGCCACCGTACCCGGCCCACTTTAGTTTTTTTTCTGATTTGTCTTAATACGATTTGTTAAAGAATCATTTTTTATACCACTAATTCTAATGGTTATGTTCATGACACTATTTAGTTAGTTTCTGGAGTTTCTAGTCTGCTCCATTCGTTTGAATGTTTATTATTTTATATTGGGGCTTTTCAATATGTAGTTAGTCCAAGTGCCACTGCCCTATTCTCTTTTTTTAGTCAATTATTTTGTTATTGAAATATGCTATTGTTGCCAAGTTTTAAAATAATTTTTATAAAATTCTATCAACACCAAAAACAATAAACAACTACTGGCATTTTGACTGGAAGTAAGTTATTTACCCAGTACTGTTAGGAGTCTGTCACTCATGAGCATGAAATATCTCCCTATTTAGTCAACATTTCTTTAGTCATTTAAGTTCACTGTTTCCATCATTAGAGGGCAGTGTATTTCCTAGTGTTTATTTATCAGTTATTTTATTATTTTTGTGCTCTCTTTACTGTTGGGAAATATAGAAATGTTTTTGTTTTTCTTTGCCAAATTTGTGTTAGCCACATTGCTGAAAATCACACTGTTATAAATTTTCTTTTGATTCTTTTAAGCTTTAAAAGTAAAAATCTCATAATCTTTAAGTAATAATCATGTTGTACCATTTCTTCTAATATTTATAATAACAGGTTTTCTTTTTCATTACATTGGTTATACATTTTACAACAATACTTACTTTAGCAGCAATAGAAATTTTATCTTATTTCTAACTCTAATTGAACATTTTATTTCATCATGAAACATGGCATTGGGATATTAGTAAGAGATTTTCTCTAACATTATAAAAAAAAGGATCATTTGTTTCATTGTTTAAAAAAAATCAGGAACAGATACATATCTACTCAAAAAAATTGATGTAAAAATAAACAATTACGAAAATGTATAAATGCTATTTTTATCAATTTATCAACATTTCTTGTCACTTAAAAACCTGAAATTGAGGAACATACTGTAATTGGTAAGGTAATATGATTAAATGCTGTAAGAGTAATTTAATAATTTCTGGTAGCCACAGAGGAATAGTAGCAAAAGAAAGAGCAAAAGAAAAGTGTGCATGAGAGGTTAGAATTCATTATATACTTTAGCATATAGGTTAGAATTTACTATATACTATAGAATTCACTATATAGTATAGAATATATGTTAGAATTCACTATATACTTTAAAGCCAAATATAGTCAGATTCTTCTAAGATTTCCTCTACTTTTCCTGGGGTAATCACAGCAGAATAAAGAGCCAGATTATATGGGTTTGAAATCGATCTCTAATGATGTGATTTTAGGCAGTTACTCCATGTCTTACTCCCCTCATTTCCTAAATAGTAATAGTAGTAGTATTTTCCTCATAGAAATTCTTTGTGGATTATTTGATAATAAATGCTCAATAAATATTAATAAAATATTTGCTGTTATTATCATAAGGTACCAGATATAAAAATCAAAAATAGTTTGCTGATATGCATTTATGACCACATTCCAAACTTATTCCTCTGAATATAAATATAATTTAAGGTTATTTGTAATCTTGTACATACCATATGTTTCCACTTGGGCAATTTTGTTTTTCTTAATTTGAAGTTGATCTTTTGATTTTGAGTCTACTGGCAAAAAACTTTTACCTGTCATCTGAGGCACCTTCAGAGCTACAAAATAGACATTTGAAATATATTAAAGAGAAAATATATTTACTGTAAAAACATAAAACATATTGAGACACAATGACATATTCCTTTTTTTCATTTTAAGCTAGTAATTTTCCATTTTAAATTGCATAGCTGAATAACCATCAATCTCTTGTAAGTTGTAACAAAAACTAGCACATGTGAATAAGTCAGTAGACTAAATACAGGTTGTCATCCCTCTCCTTCATTCAACTGAAAAACCTCAGGAAAAACAAATCACTTAGCAACAAATATGGAAAGTTAAGGACAGGGATCTGAGACCAAGGTAAGTGAGAAGGTGCTAACTCTTAAGGAAAAATCTAGATACTGAAATACTTCAGAAACTTATGCATATAGATATGTAATATTATTAACATATCTTTAAATAATTAAGAGTTCTTAAAAATCATTATATACCCCAGTAATAACATTGAGAACCAAACCTTTCACAGGCCTATTTCTATCTTTTCCAATTTTTATATTAGACTGCTTATACTCTTTTACATATTAACCCATTATTTGACACTGTAGTGAAAGTGAAGAATGAAAGCAAATGAAAGAAAAGACCTAAAAGACAATAGTAAGCAGAAATCCTTCTTGTGGACAGAAATTTGAGGAGTACAACTAAGGCTCCACTATATGTGGAACTAGAGATGGTTTGAGATTTAGTTTTACACTGATTTGAAGGCAGAAGCTAATGGAATTGGCCAGGTAGTCAGTTGAAGAATTGGGGCAAAAAGATTAAAAAAATGGTGACATGCAGGTCTTAGGGAGTTTTGTCTATGACTTTCTAGAATAGGGTGACAGTGTATAAAGTTATCCAAGCCCCATATAAATGTGCATAGGAAGGCATTTACCATAGTGTAAGATCTCAGCTAGAGGACCCGTCTATAAATACCAGTCAACCTAATGCCTCAGTTACATTTGTGCTTATTCTATGGACCTAGGTACCAAGAGGCCATGATGACAGTGACTTTTGAGTAAATTAATAGTATAGGGTTTTCCTATCAAGAATAATATGGATATTGCCCCTTCTGAGTGCTGAAATTGTCAAAAGCATAGGCTAAAGTTGAGCCTTCAAGTATAGCATCATTTTCTAGAAGAATTAGCAAAACATCTGGTGGCAGATGGACAACTGTAAATTTTCTATCATAAGAGGGAAATGATCTGCCCTCAGTGAGTTAGACATTTATTTTAGGCACTAAATCACTTTCTCTGCCTGTAGAACTTCTACCAATACCCTTGTTCATAAACTTGAAGAGTATCTTTTTGACTGACATAGTATCCTATGCATAATCTCCAACCAGGGGCACGATTTATGCAACTGATGTGTCATAATGAGTTCATGCCCATAAACTTACTGGTATTAGCACAAGCCCCCATTACCCAGAAGCACCAAGTTTGATGGAACAGTGAAATGGCTAGGTGAAGTCTCAGTTACTATGACTTCTGATAGAAAACACCCTGAGAGGCTACAGTCTTGATCTACAGGATGTCATATAGCCTTTATATGCCAATATATGGCCCTACCTATGCCATAACCTACCAATCTCATACCACATATACTTAATAACCCACTTAAAAATTTTTTATTTCATTTTCCAATGACTTTCATTAAGCAAGCTCCATGTGGGAGCATTCTTTCTGGTGTCCAAAGGAAGAATGCTCCCATCAAATATTCATATTCCAATAAGCTAGAAGCTGAGACTGCCTTCTTGCCATTTGGGGATCCCATGCCATTAAACCAATTGACAGAGAGAAAAATGTTTCTGAACTGGCTGTATCTCAATAACTGGGGAGAAGTAAGTTTCACTAATTAAGAGAAGAAAGAAGGAATAATTTTGACCCCAGGGGTTCACTGGGATACCTTTAAATACTTCCACGTTCCAAATACAAGATAAATAGAGGACTACAGCAATCTAATAAAACCACCAAGGTATCAGCTATCATAACAATAAAGGTTTTTGAGTTGCCTTACCAGATAAAAAACTACTGTCTACCCAAGGGGGAGGCAAAGACTAATGAGAACATGGACGGGTAATGGAGGAAGGCAGCTATAATTAATTGCCTTCATAACTAGTTATAGAAATTACAACTGTGGCAATGATTTTTGTCCATTAATTATGTCTTATACCACTACCCCCTTTTATCCTTTGCCACTTTATATAAAGAATGTTGATGCTGAAAAATGAATTTAGTAGGTTATAGATAGAAGAAAGACCCAATTGAAATTACTCTGAAATATTATGGATTTGAATAGGACTTAATGTTTCTTGGGTTGGAGACACATTTTCATCACCTGAATGAAAAACAAGGTGAGACTGCTGAAGGCCAAACGAAGTACACTGAGAAGATACCTCTTATTTTACCTTCCAGATTTACTCTCCAACTTTCTCTAGTTACTGTATGTTCCAACGAGTAAACCTCCAAAGACTGAATAAATAGGTTTGCTTGCTCTCAGGCTTCCAGGTGAATTCAGCCAATGAAACCATGGCAGGAGATCAGAGGGAGGAAATACAATGAGATCAAGGAATATATTTCCATGGTTTCTTTCCTGCAGCATCATGGCAGTGGGCATGAACTTTCCCAAATCTCTTACTTCTTGTTACATACACTACTTTCCCCATAGAGCTCTCTTTTACCTAAGTTTCCAATAACTATTCCTTCTCCTCTTTAAGGTTAAGGGTAGTAACATTATCCCACTTTTTTACCCCTAGATTGTTAAACTGTTCCTTATGTTTATGCTGGACACTTCTCCTTTGTAGAGTGTGCCCCTTTATTAATCTCAAATTAAACCCAATTTGTGCTGTTTTCCAACAAGATCTTGACTTATATACCCATAACTAGCAGACTGGATAAATAAGCAGTAGTGCATTCACACCACAATGAAAATAAACAAAATATGGTTACATGTTTTACATAACACTAAATTTTAAAAAGCAGGATAAGAAAGGATATTTAGAGAATTATTTATTCTTAAAATCTTCAAAAACTATATTATGATTACATACTGAAATGGTAAAACTATTAAGTTTAACCACATGAACTTGTCATTTTCTTATAGGTAAAAAATTGTTGAATATTGGCAATTACATATGATTTGACCAAAATAAGAAACAATAAACTGCTATCTTAAAATCAATATAGTTATTGCCACTGTGAGGATGGAGAAAATTGAGAGACACACTGGAGATTTTATGTGAGAGTAGGATTCTATATCTTGACCTAAGTGGTGGTTATCCTAGTTTTGCTTAATGCTTATTTGTTAAAATTTACACGTAAGTCTTATGAAATTACCTGTAAATTGTTTAAAATTGCTTAAAAAGTAAATTAAAGATATCTTAAAGAATACTTGTTCTCAAATGTTTTCATTTTGGTATGTCATTCAATACATATTCAAGTTCTGAACAAGAGATATATTTGTAGTTCACTATAAAAGAAAGACAAACTATATATTGTTTGACTGGACAAAAATATTTTCTCTAATCTTTGTAACAATCACATGTCCATAGTAAGTAGCACTGACTTATTAAAATATACTATATACTTAAAGCATAAAAATAAAGACAATACTTCTCCTCAGTGTATATGTGAGAATCCTATTTCATAAATATACCTAGTTATTAAACAAATGAATTGTTACTTGATTCTCTTATGGTATACATATTTTAGAAAAAAGTTTAAATTATTAAAATAAGATAAATGATTGATACAAATGGAAAGATGCCATAAGTCACCAGTCCAAAGAAGAGAGCAATGAAGAGAGAAATATCTTTTGAAGATAAAAAATTTTTTTAAACAAAACTTTCAATTTCCAGTCTAACATGTAAAAGTCTCAGAAACTGTCTCTCCATCCTAACAACAAGTATTATGCAGCAATCAGAAATGATGAGTTCGTGTCATTTGTAGGGACATGGATGAATCTGGAGAACATCATTCTCAGCAAACTGACACAAGAACAGAAAATGAAATACCGCATATTCTCACTCACAGGCGGGTGATGAAAAATGAGAACACATGGACACAGGGAGGGGAGTACTAAACACTGGGGACTATTGGGGGGGAAGGGGAGGGTCAGCGGGAGGGGGAGCTGGGGAGGGATAGCCTGGGGAGAAATGCCAAATGTAGGTGAAGGGGAGAAAGGAAGCAAAACACACTGCCATGTGTGTACCTATGCAACTGTCTTGCATGTTCTGCACATGTACCCCAAAACCTAAAATGCAATACAAAATTAAAAAAAAAAAAAGCTGAACAAGTAAGAAAACCTGAACTGCCATTAGTGAATTGCTGGAACCTCAGTGAGGACATGTCTGAACAATTAAAACTCCAAGGAGGCCCAGTTATAGGGAGTTTCCACACTTTTGTGAGTTTTGCCTCCAGAAGCTGTACCAGGTTCTCACAATGAATAGTAGAGAAAAAAAATCCCCTTATGTTCCCAACAGAGGGAGAGGGAAAAGGAACCACTTCAAAATATGCCAGAGCAATCTATTCTTAACAAGGTCTGCTCACAGGACACATACTTTTTACCAGAGCCAAATCTGCTAGGGTTTTATTGGAGCCTAAACAAGCTTAGATGAAAGGGAATATCCAACTCCAGCCCCCTCTACCCATCCTGCCCCACATAAGAAGGAAAAAAATTGAGAAGCACTGAAGAAGTTCGTTCATAGTCCAGGGACACAGGATCACCAAAAGACTGAGACCTAACCATCATAAGATTACAAAATGCTTTCCCCTCCTCCTCACACTTATTCACCACAAAATTAGGGACCCATTTACTGGAGTTTATTTTCCCAGTACATCATGTCTGGCTTTTAATAAAATATTACAAGGCATACTAACAGACAAAAAAAATTGAAGAGACAGAGCAAATATTACAACTAAGTTCAAATATGGCAGGAACGTTGGCATTATCAGACTAGCAGTTATGGCAAGGTAGCAGGACACAAGATTAATGTACAGAAGTTACATGTTTTACTTTATTT